CTGAATCCGGAATTCGCGATCTTGCTTTCCGGTCTAGGACACCTTAATGGAATATTCCTCTTGGGGGTCGTTCGCAGATTTTGTCGGTCTGTGTGAGTTTAGGGAGTGGTAGGAAAATCGGTCGATGTTTCGTATGTTTTCTAGACCCAGAGTATCTCAGTGTAAACAATATAAAACTCGGTTCATTGCTCTGTTAATACCCAGAAAACAAGCCTCGTTTTATCTCAAAATACTCACTCACCAAAATAGCGATTCCATTGAACCATTCTGTCTCCAAATTGAATGCCGTGTCTCAAGAGCACTTCTTGAATTTATGCAGCAAAAGTCAGAACACGTGAAATGTATGGGATGATCGACAAAGGCCTTGTTGAACATTCGATTCAAACGAAAAGTATCAATTTAAGTTCCCAATGACTTTGGGAACGCTTTGGTTGTTTATAATTAACTTGGAACCCATTTCATGTCTTGCTTCACACATCTTATTTCGTGTTAGAACACGCATACTCTTGAAGCAAAGATGCTTTTATCAAACTGTTGTTTTTGCGCGTTCATTAGAAGCTGGATGAGAGTAAAAGTGCCTGATGTCATCAGGAGACGTAGATTGTCATATATGATGGCTAGGAATAGACCACACTGCATATCTTCAATAGTATACGCTTCTGTTTTCCACACTGGAACGATCTGGAATTCGACTCCATCCTTGATTGTTGGAAGCTGCCAGTGTAACGGTGATACCACTGATAGGGGAGGCATTCGAATAGTATGGTTTCTTCTTGTAAATTCGCTTGAAAAGGGAGATCTGTTGAGGAATTTGTGGAGCCGCTTTGTAGCATTTGCTTGGATTTGAGCAACAGTCAACGAATATCCAGGAATGTTCAGGAAGACGCGTTCAAGGAGAAGATGGATATTCAGTTTTGTAAACAATATGCATAGGAGAGTTTCGTTTCCCTGTCCAATAGTCTGTAACTGGTCAGTTGGCATTTCCTGGTAAAGAACCCCTCAGCGAAGGCCTTCTTCCTTTCATCAGCATACCAGATGCACAAGAGCGCTAGTCTGTTGTCAGAATCCTGAGCTGATGAATTCTGTCACACGATAATGGCTGACTATGGACCATGGTTTTATCTAGGGTCTCATGGAGATTTCGAGACGGGACACGGCACAGCACATCAGTATAGCATATCCTGACAGAATCGCAACGTACTGCGATTTTTTATTGCGCTAACTTTTTTATTGGTTCCTCTTCGCCGGTCAGCTTTTTTTTTATTAATGTCCGATCATGCTGACACCCATTTACCGAAAGTGGTACTCCTCAATTTGCTATCAGTGGAAATACCCTGAAAGGTATCGGCGGTTGCATGTAAGCAAGATAATCTGGTTTGGTGCATCACAGTGAAAAAGCGGACAAACCATATGTAGGCGGATTTGGTGAGTGAAAATCACTCACTCGGATGGACAAATCAATGCAGTGCATTGATCAGTGGTGGAAAATCGATACACATGTGCGTATCACTTACGGAAAGCGTGTGTTGTTTGTTAAACTCGTGAGGGGGCCTGAAATGCCTGAATGCCCGAAAAATAAAGACAAACTATCAATGTTGACCTCTTCAATGACTGTTAATGAACTCAAGTACGCATCTGGTGCCATTTACTTAGGTAATACGGCGGGGCATTTGTACAAGCAGACTGCGCGAAACGGCTCACCCAGGGAAGTAGATGCAAAATCCAGGATTCTGCTGTAGTCCACCTAGTCGAAGCGGGAAGCATCGTTAGTTGGGTCGCGTCACAAAACTGGCTCGCGATTACTGCATCTGTTGTCATCTGACTGTTCACACCCGAATTCTGTGAACCAAAGAGTCTTGTCCAATCCCTCCAGCTAAACTTGCTCGGTGTTCGCCTATCGTCTGACGATGGCATACACCAGGCCAGATCCCCAAGACATTCCAGGCAATTAGCTGACTAATATACTGCTTTCCCTATCCCTACGTCTGCCTTACTACAGTTGATTGACCTTTATTTCATGATTTGTACTACCCGTCCGATGAATCACCGCCTACTGTTCCCATTTCCAAACGCAGTAGCCTCAACTGACTGAACAGTTCCAACCATTCATCATCATCATCATCATCATCATCATCATCATCATCATCATCATCATCATCATCACCATCATCATCATCGTCATCATGATCACCATCATTATCATCATCATCGACAGCATCAGTGTTCAACACCGGTGCCTCACTGCCGTACCATCATGATGCATGTTCCAACCAAAAACTAATGTAAGAATTTCGCAATCAAATATCCTTACAAGTGCAACATACTTTGGCTCCGGCTGCCCATAAATGAAATGTTAAGGAATGTCAGCACGGCAGGATGTTATGTGGCAGTGACAACTGCTTCATCGATGCACCACACCATTTGCCTGATTTTCATTTGGTATACGCATCAGCGTCAGACTACCCAAGTTAAAGCCAAGCACTAAGATCTTCTTTGGCGTGATGGCTGATACCTCAAGCAGGTCGCCCCTGGTGGAAGGAAGAAGGCCTTCGCTGCGGAGTTATTGATTGCAAATCGCCAACTGTTCAGTTAGACACTATCGGACAGGGAAGCAAAACTCTCACATGCGTCTTGTTTAAAAAAGCTGTGTATCCTTCTTCTTCTCGAACGCGTCTCCTGAACTTTCCTGGATACTCACTGACTACCACTCAAACGTAAACGAGTGCTAGAAAGCGATACCACAAATTCCGCAATAAATCTCACTTTTCAATGGACGTGTAGCAGACTTACGAGAAAACGTGATACTACTGGCATGCTCCCTCAGTAGTATCCGTCGTTACACAAATGCCTCATTGATCCATACCATTTGTCTGCTATCCATTTGGTATGCTGATCAAGCAACTGCTGTTGCTTAACCCGGCTTACGACGCTGTACTTCCTTAGTTCTCAACTGATCTCCCATTCACAGTCAGTACGCCAACCACTTATACCATGGATATTCATTCAACCAATCATATGCGACCCGACTCGAAGCGCGTTACTGGATAGTCCTATTGATCCATTCTGCAACAAGACTGTCAGTTTTGTCACGTGTGTACGCTCTTGTCTCCTGATTTGCGTGTTACACACGAACCCAAATACGGTTTGCGCCAAGAACGAAGAGAAAAAACCTGTGCTACGGCCCGAAGATTTCAAATCATTTGAAGGCCGGTTGCACAACCTTCTCGAAAATCCCGAGAGAACATAAAAGTGGAAAAATGCCTCTGCAGGCACAAGCGTCGAAGTATCTAATTGGTTATTCTGTATGGCCAGAAACTTTACAAAAATTTCCGCGCAGAACAAAAGTTTGAGGCACTTAAAAGACAAAGTTTTAAATTTCAGAAACGTTTGGCATTTTCGACTCCCGGCGTCCTAATAATAGCATGTTCTATTTCATGTAAGCAAATAAAATCATATCTATTGGCTTTTTCTGTCTCTGTAGGGTGAAGCGTTGCAAGAAAGATTTTGTGATTGTCTAGCAGCAGTACACTACTCATAAGGTTGTTGAAAAATCTTGTTTAGTTGAAGTAGACAACCATAAACGACAGATTTAGCTGGATTCATTTGGGTTTCCGATCAAAACCAAATTCGTACGCAAACGAGATTTTTGTTAAAATTTTGCTTTGAAAGTATCCATCTTTCCGGAGAGTATTCTTTCGGAAGAACCTTTATTGTGGTCCATCATGAGGGTGTGTCCAGTCTTGTCCGCATCGTTTCATGAAGGTCAGATTACTCTAGGTCACACATGAGTCAGCTCCCAGGATACGCATACAGTGTGCCATTTCTGGAGTGCACACCCACAGGGGCAAAAGAGAGCCAATTTTTTAAAAGAACATATTGCTTGGGATATCGTTTTTATGCTCCGGGCAGCTCCAAAACAGCCTGTACGGATTAAAGGACACGCATATGTGTGAATTCACTTCGTGCGGTTTAGCTATAACTGTTTGCATCGTATGCCCTCCTCAGTTCGAGACCATCACCTTGGGTGGATAGTATTGTAGCAGTCAGTTACCGTGTGAAGTCCTCATCTCCAATCAAAAGACTGGTATAAAGTTTGATTTGATATCCCGGAACAGCTACGGGTTGGCAATTGATTTGTTCAGATGGAGCGAATCTTTGTGGGGACGTACCGACAAAGGGTCCAGTCATAAATCAATAAAGGTGAGCAAGCCTGGTCGTTAAAGTGCAATGAAGTTGTAAAAACAAGTCTCCTGAAGGACGTTTGAAAGTAGAAAAAGCCACGTAGCCACAAAGAGGACTCAGGAGACGTACGTTTGCGGTTGCAACATGTTCTAAGTTCGCGAGAAATACACTCATTTGCAAATCAATTTGGTTTTCACGGGAGACTCAATTGAATCTCTCGTTTATGATGCCCTCCAGCTGAATGTGCTGCACACAGGCCACCTCATGATTCAGTTGGGACCAAATTGATTTGCAAATGAGTGTATTTCTCGCAAACAGTGCAGTTTGGGTTCAAGTATATCATAAGGTTGACGGAAACTCGGGGACTGCGCCTACCTGATGAGCCCCAAGAAGGGCGAAACCGGTCGTGGGCTATCGAAGAGTTTTCAGCAACCTTGTGAGTAGTTTCCTTTATGTTCTACGTTCGTTTTTCTGCAATCTCATCACATGATTGAGCATCATCTATTATATTTCTGAAGCATTCTGTTGTGTAATGAATTTGAAACGATGGCGGAATTTTTCGGCTTAATGGAGGTCATGTTATTCTTGGGACGAACCATAAATCGATGGTAGTGACATTGGATATCCTAGGCCCAAGGAAGGCTAATCCAATGAACTTTCACGTTAGTACGCCCTTTCAAGCATGGTGTGATTCGTGTCTCTTACGATGAATCATCTCCCTCAGGTAGAGAGACGGCTCACTAGTTCGGGGGCGAATTTGCTGAGCAGAAGGTCCGTGGTTCGAATACGACCGCTGTATCTCTACTTTCCCTGTCTAGGTTGGGGCAGCCTGGCAGTATCATGGTCTCCGTGCTTCCTCTGGGCGACGTGGTAACTAAGCGTGAAGTTCATCTGGCCGTTAATGGTCTCTACCCTCTAGTACGTGCATGTTCAAACAAATACTTTATCGATGGGAGATAACCTCTTTCTTACCTGTTACTTACTATATATGGTAGCCGACCAGCAGTTCAGTTCAACCCAGGTTTACCTGGGTTGCGTTGTCTCAAGCACACATGGTTGATTGATTACCTATAAACTTTCCCCAAAAAGTTATTCTTAACCCCAGTTTCTCACTCGTAAACTTTTCTTTCCTTTCTGCCAGCAACTTCTGGATTTCCACAAACCAAAAAAGTCCATTCTCCGTGCAAAGGGGGCGCATAAAGATTCCTCTTCTCAGGAGAATGGAGAAGACATGAGGAATATGGCTTCTTTCGCAGACATTCGATCGGCTACATCAAGCAGACACAATGTACTACTTAATTCGAACTGGATGCCACAAAACGAGGCTTCAGTTGGACTGCGGTCAGTGGACAATCGACGACGCAACGTGTTATTCTTAGATCAAGTTGAAAGGAACAATAGACCTTCGATGATGATGGATCAGCCAATCTCGCGGTCTCAGGCAAGCTCACCGGCATCCTCTTCAAATGCCTATGCATCGTATCCAACCAGTTACCAACCGTCTCCTCTTTTTCCCAAACGAGACATGAGCAACTGCGATATTGAGCTGGTCAGTCGAGCTCCACTTTCGCCTGCCGAATCTGACAACACAAATGACACGTATACTAGCCCTCGGCTCAAACGTTGGCTCCGAATGTCTTCATTCAATCAACGATGGAAACAAAAATACCTGGACTTTCACTACTCGAACGATACAGCAGATGAGAGCGAGAATGAGTCACCTGGATTGGAAACACTACGCAAATATCCTCAGGTGATATCCAACTCGTCCCAGTCGAACCCTGCTAGACCTGACTCGTCCCCGGGAAAGACAAATTACACTGGGTTTGGAACGACAAATCCGCCGTCCGGGGAAAGTCCGGTGGTTCGGCGACCTGTCCGGCCCAAAATAGTCGAAACTCAGGTAGGTCGTTTCAACCTGAGAGCACAGATGTTTCTATGGTATCGCTCTCATTAAGATGAGATGGAATTTTCACAGGTCAGTGCCAGAGATCCACCTAACGTTAACGTAAAATCGAACACAATAAACAGACAGTGGGGAGTTTGCACTATGGCTGAGTGCTTTATTGGATGAGTCACTGCAAATTCGTTGCTATCGGTATTCTCCAACTCTTTCCTGACAGCTGCTCAACCGAGAGTGCCAACAAACATAATTATTCAGGTACTCTTGACGGCCAATAGTTTTTGGTTAATCGTGAAACTTGAGCAAACTAATTCGGCTTTAACGGGAGACTCAAACGAATCCATCGTTTGTGGTAATCTCCAATTAAATTTGCTGCACACAGATCTCTTCGTGTTTCAGTTGGTAAGATATCAAACGCGCAACACACTACTCGTAAGGTTGCTGAAAACCCTTTGACAGCCTCTTCCGAGTATCCGTTGTGGCACTTTTCAAATAGCTGTAGAATTTACATCACATACCTTCCGACTAGTCCGAACGTTTGACATCCGTAACCATGGTTACCTACGTGTGACCTATCGATCGGTGGATCGATCGATTGAATGATTTCAAGGAAACGAACCATGAATAAACTGGCAGTGTTTTAAGACGATGCAGTTTCAGATGATTTCTTGTTTTTGAGTCCATGGCAGACTTGACTACTGATGTACAGTTTAGCGGCCCTTGTTTCTTACCTGACATGAACCGTACCAGTGATTTGGAGATTGTATCCGTAGTAAGTACGATGCTGAACAAAGTTGGAAGGGACCTTGTGCACTAAAAATTCCAAAATGAAGATTACTACCCAAGGCCCACTCTTTGTTGGAACGGGACTGTTGTATCGTGGGTGGCAGTTTATGGGCTAGGCCTGCACCGAGCCTGCCAGACTACGCGATAGGGAGGAGTCAGAGAACTGGGGACACGGTTGTAGTGTCAGGACAAAACATACAGGGCGTCTGCGTAAATATATAAGATGACCAAATGGCCAAATATGGTCGTTCAATTGTTCGTTCCGTACAACCAATGGCGGTCTTTCGGTCGTGAACACTCTCAGGCACACTACGCTGGTCGTGTGTTGCTAAGTCGTATTTGGTGTGAGCCGCCAACTCACCTACTTTCCGGACGAGTCGTACTGATGGTGGGGATGCTTCACTCTCTGCACATGCGCTTTTTTTCTGTCTGGGCGCGTCCTGACAGGGACTGAGTTCTGGTGACCCTGAAAGCGTGGGGAAAAGAATTTCATACAAAAAGGACCAAAATTCTTTATGGATGGAAAGCGCGAAAAGTCCATTTTCTGGAATTGTTGTTCTATCTGTTTGGGATGGAAAAGTCATGATTTTTTTGAATTGATGATGTCAACTTATGGGTTATTAGATTTTATTGCTAAGTAGGGGTTTAAATGAAACTGAAACTCCTCGAGATGTTTTCAGCAACCTTGTGAGTAGTATCCTTCAAGGAAATATGCTGCGAAATACTCGCTGAAACATGAGGCGGCCTGTGTGCAGCACCTTCTGTTGCAGACTGTCATAAACGAGAGGTTTAACTGGGCCTCTCGTGAAAACCAAGTTGATTTGCAAATGAGTGTGTTTGTCGAGATCAGTCTAATTTGAATTCAAGGAGAACATAAGGCTGAGGGCAACCTGGGGTCTGCGCTTACCTGGTGATCCACAAGAAGGGTGAAATCGGTCGTGGGCTGTCGAAGAATTTTCAGAATAGTTTCCTTTATGAAAATATACTGCGATATCTCAAATATCGTACCAACTGAAACGTGAGGCATCTTTTGTGCGACACATTTAGTTGAAGAACACCATAAGCGGATTCAGTTGAGTCTTCCGGGGAAAACAAGCTGGTGCGCAAATGAGCTCATCTATGGAATAGGGGACAATAAAGCGTTCCATCCGTCAAATGTAGCGAAGAATGGACGCCATAAATCCATCGGCCCATTGGCTTATAGGGGTCGAATACTAGAGAAAAATTCATGTGGGTAAGAAGCAGAGTAAGACTACTGGAGCCTGTGACGTAACAATAGTTAAAAAATGGCAGATATATCGAGAAAATTATGATGCCTTTTTGGTTGGCGCCAAGTTGGCAACTGTCATACAAGAATTTGCTTAATCTCTTGACTATGGCACGTCCTTCGATGAATACATCCACTTCTGTGTGTCGGCACCAGAGCAGCGTTTGAAGCTGACACTTCAGTGAAGTTGGCCAGTCCAGAGACTTGTTTCCGGGCCATACCAATATCCCAGAAGGGAGTCATTTCGCCCACCAGTGAGCGGTCGGACATCTTGGAATGAACTCGATGGCTCATTCTATTGCGGTGATGAACACGAATTGGGGCAGCTCTTGGTAAAATCGAAGTTCGTTGGAGCAGTAGCTTATATTTCGAAATTGACTGGTGTCATACGAATATCTGGACATTGTGGGTCGATTTTAGCCAGATTAATTTAGTATGATGTAGTCATACTAAATTAACAGCACGTGACTTGGATTAACCACATACAGTAACTCCTGAAGGATCGACTTGATTTAAATTAGCACGATATGAACAGCCGAATTGAGTGGAACGTTTAGTACGCCCTCAAGGGGTACTCGCCTTGTGTTTATCAGTCGATGATTGCTCCTCGTGTGCGGAAGACTATCATGCTACAAAGTGGAAGAAAGAAAGCCTTCCGCTGCAAAGACGGATATGACGAAACACGAACCAAGCAGTTACAAGTCGTTAGACGGGAAAGCAAACATCTCATATGGACACAGTCTTTAAAAACTGAACATTTTCACGCGTCCTCTTGGCTTTCCAGGATATTCAGTGACTATTACACAATAGTAAACGAGTACTGCGGAGCAATCCCACAGTTTTCACAATAAACTTCACCTTCCAGCAGATGCGGGGCGGAGCTTGGTAACTAACAGTAGACTACTCGCCTGGTCTATCAGTAGTATGGTGACAATTTGCGAGGATTCGGTGCTGACAAACTTTCTACATGAATTCCGAGGATCAATGAAAAGATGCTTTTGTATTTTGCTCTGAGTGACAGTTTGAATAATTAGAGTGCGGAATTTCAGTAAAAATGACCTCGCCAGATTCCCATATTATCTTTGCCTACGCGTAGTCATTTCGTCATTTCAAGGCCGTCCAATTCAATAGATACCTCTCAGGATGTAGATCTGGGTGTCCCTCTTCTAAGAAGGTGTTATAGTGCTCGGTTTTGAGAATTGACGCTGGAACATGTCATCATGACGCAAAGTTCATGAGGCTCGTTCCATCATTTTCTACCCGAACTGTTTAACCGGGAGCTGAGGCACCTCGCCATGTGTATCCTGAGTCAAGACCAGATCCATTCTATGCTCTTCTAAACTTTTGAAAGTGCTGACCTAAGCATGAAGTGGTTTTGGGGCTTTTGAGCGTAACTTGTGTAAAAAACAGTCAGAAATGCCAGTTGTCTCCGGTCCTCTAATGTTATTAAAACCTTCTATCATAGCTAGACTGGTACGCTTGTCACGAAATTCTGTACAGCGGATTATTCACGGCTAATCGGAAGTTTATTCAGTAGTCTGATATCGTATAATATATCAATAGGACATTCGAATAATACAGAAATTGTGGGTACCACCAAATTCATCCGATCAATGAACCGTATTCACTGCAACTGCGGGGATCTACTCACAACCCCCGCCCACATTCTTATGGTTTGCTGTACGGTGTCGAACGGGCAAATGAGTAATTGTGTTCGAGTTTGACTTCAACAACAAGATAATGAGGTTTGGATCCCAACCTAGTAAGTAGTGTGCACGCGTAAACAATCTTGAAGAAGTGAGCCCTCGTATGATTCATTTGGTTGGGTTTTAGAGGGCTGACTGATATGAGGTAGCATTTTGATCCAAATGTCATCTAAACCATGATGTTCAAACTACACCCTACACTCAAATGCTCAAAAACCACATGAGAGACAATACTGACTTCTTACCGCAAATACGAGCAATTTAGACGTTCATTTTAGCGTCACATGACTAACTGTCGGTAGTTATTTTCGACACACGATCAATAAAACTTGTGTATTGAGCGGTGCTTACGCTCTGAACGGCTAAAGCATCAGTTTCGTTGCTTTGACGAGTTATCCAACCAATCATGCCGCTCAGTTGCGCACAATTCATTCAATCAAAAAAATTTATGTGCATCTCGTAAATCAATTGAAAAATGCAAGTGCACCAGCTATTAAGATGACGCAACGAAATACTCTTTTTATAATTTGTCTGAATGGCTGTTGAACCGAAGTGTCTTTGCGTTGAATACACCTATGACGTGGGGGAGTACCAACCACGTCTGTGCATTGTGTAGCGATTCTGGTTTCGTCTTGTTCATCTGATTAAACCGACAGGAGATCTGCTTTGTCCCCCAAAAACTCAGACACGTGAGGCAAGTTGCCTCAGTTAGGACTCATCGACCGATCGAACACGTGACCCTGGTGGTCGCACATTGCTGAATTGAGCGTCACGTTCCCTTCGAACACGCTTGTTCAACTGGTGAATACAATTTGGATGTGCATTGCTCCGATTAACTGTTTTCTTGAATAGATGACCATTTATCATAAATAGTCCAGTAGCTCAGTCTGGCTCCGGAAAAACCAACAAATCTTCGGATGGCTTTGCTGTCGATTTTGAGGGCAGCCGTGTCCGGTCTAATTGAAAGCCAATCAAATTGGCAATCGGGCGCTCGTGGCTAAGCGGATAAGCGTTCAACCACGTGATCGAAACGCACTACTGATGATTCCCGGAAAGGATGAAACAGCCGTACAGTGTTTCTCAGCGTTTCAACCTCACTGACAGGATGAGATCTCTCTTGAATATCACCAAATTTCCTCCCATATGAGTCGAAACCTCGACGGATTCACGGAGGCACGGCTGAAACGAAGTAAGATTCACCTTGTTCGGTTCAAACGCCCAGTTAGTTATGAACCCATTCCAGTTTGTGATATGGTTAGCCAGTCACCTATGTCTACAAATATATTAGAATTATCCCAGTGCCGGAAGCATTAGTCTTGATACAACCGAGACTAGCCTGATCGCAGAGAGGTCTATCACACACTCAATGCACAGGCCGATTTTATACCATCTCTGGAATACTCCGACCACTAGCCTCACGGCGCGATCCGAGTATGCTGTGAGTGGTTGTTTAACCCAGATGTCAACTTAGGCAGAATTTTATGACGCAGGAAGTTATCGATCGCGCCTGTGGTCACTGTGGACGACACTATCCACAGTCTCTCGATAGTAGTGGAAAATCCGCGAACAGCTCATGCCCCTATTGGCCGTTGATCATGTGACTATCGATCTGCTCCCTCGGTTTAGGAGGCAGCAATGAGGCTCGATTGATCGATCGAATACCGGGTCAACTACCCAACCAGAATATCAGTGAAAGGAAGAAGGACTTCACTGCCGAGCTATTTATTAGAAAATGCCAACTGATCAGTTAAAGACTATTGGATAGGGAAACACAACTCTCATTTGCATCTTATTTACAAAAACTGAACGCGTCTTCTTAAACTTTCATGGATATTTATTGACTCAAAACATTTATCGCTCAAATCCAAGCAAATGCTACAAAGCCACTCCACAAATTCCCCAACAGATCTCCTTTAACAAGAGACGCAAAGCGAATTTAACAGAAAACATACTACTTGCATGCTCCCATCAGTAGTATCACCGTTACACCAGTAGTTCAGCATACTTCCAAACCACTCCATATTAGAGTCAATCTTATTAAGATTCATCCCAACGAACGTTTGCGTAGAACTTGCCGTTCATAGTCAAAATAAAAAATTATATTTGTAAATTTTGCGGCCTGTGGTTGTGTCAAGGTTCAACCTAACATATGCTAGCGAAATACACTCATTTGCAAACTAATTTGGTTTTGTGAGAGACTCACCCGGGACCCGGCTGAGCCTCTCGGTTTTGATGTTTCCAGGCAACTGAATGTGCTTCACTCGGGGGCTGTGCCTATCTGATGAGCCCCAAGAAGGGCGAAACCGATCGTGGGCTGTTGAGGAGTATTCAGCAACCTTATGAGTAGTATATTACTAACCTCGTACACAAATGCGAAAGCCTTGATGCGTTATTGGTTCTTGGTCTGCTCGCAAAACTTTACAGTTGGATTGCAAACCATTCATCGTTAATCGAGGTGACACCGTCAGTGCAGGGTTGAATAAGTCACTATTATACATCTTTCTCCAAAATCGAAATGTAACGGCCAAAGTTACAGTTTTTTTTTGCTAAAATAAACTAAGTTCAATGGGAGCCAATCACACTGCTGTTCAGTCGCTCTTGCGGTCAGGCGCTCAGATGTTTAACTACTGGCCGGAGGATTGTGGGTTCAGAACTCTCTGAGGTTCGTCAACTGCACACTGCTGAGGATTCCCGAGTAGGATGAAACCGCTGTACGGTGCTTTTAAACACAGGCTTGGTTCACTTACAGGACGAAGTATCAATTGTATAACAAACTCGCTGATTTCGATTATAGTAAAGCGTGTTCCGTTCACATTCAAGCTTGGCTCAAGTCTATTCACCGCTAGCACTCCAAGATCATACTCCAAAACTGACGATTGAGAGTGGTAACCATCGAGTTGGTGCGAGCCTAGTGGTTGTGAAGCCTCAAGCTTGAAGGAAGCAGTAAGCATGACTGTGGATTAGTAGAAGTCAGACAAACTTTGTTAGGTATGCTGGAATTCAGGTCCATGATCCACATGGCCAGAGTCTGAATCATCCGTGCACGAACGATGAAAAAAAGGCGTTTTATTATAAGAGGTCAGTAGCATACACCGAAAACAGTTTTAGACGCACTAAGCAATCATGTAGGACGCCACTGCTGTACGAGACTATATAATCATCATCATCATCATCATCATCATCATCATCATCA